ATGAGACTCTTTTTTTTTTTGGTCCGGTCATGGGGCCTGAACTCTGGGCCTGGGTGCTGTCCCTCAGCTCTTCAGCTCAAGGCTAGTGCTCTACCACTTAAGCCATAGCGCCACTTCCGGTTTTTTTCTTTTTGCTTATGTGGTGCTGGGGAATCGAACCCAGGGCCTCATACATGCAAGGCAAGCGCTCTACCACTGAGCCACCTTCCTAGCCCCTCCATGAGACTCTTATCTCCAATTAACCACCAGAAAACCAAAAGTAATGCTATGGCTCAAGTGGTAGAGTGCTCACCTTGAGCTGAAGAGCTGAGGGACAGCGCCCAGACCCAGAATTCAAGCCCCACAATCAACCAAAAAATTGTTCAAAACAGATTTCTAAAAATGATCAGGTTTATAGTATTATCCTTTTTGCACAGTAGTTGGGTTCTCTGGGGGGCTTGGAAGGTTGGCTTTCCTCTGTATTATTTCTGAAATAGTAACCCTTAGAGTGGCATTATATAAAGGCTCTTTTAACTATGCTCTATTTATCTTTTCTCTTTCCTTATGCACACTCTTCACTTCTATCACTGTCCATTCTGTACTTGACCAGGTCCTAGGCTTCATGGTGGAATTAGTCCCTTGGCTAGGGTGTCTGCTTAAGCAGTAAGAGAGGAGTCATCTGTTTGTGTAACAAACCAAAACAAAACTCAGGAGCTCTTATATGTACATCCTTTCCACAGTTCTGGCTCCTCCCACAGTATACATAAATTTGGCAAATATTTGTGACCTGCTTGTCAGGTGCCAGGCCTCATGCTAGCTGATGAAGATTCCAAATTGAGTATTCACAGTTAACTGCCTTCAAGGAACTCTGGTGAAGTGAGGAAGATAAACAAATAGACTCTTAAAGGTGCAGTCATAGCAGGGTAATAGCCTGTTAAAGGTGCAGTCATAGCAGGGTAATAGAAGACCAGTTTTTCTGGGGGTGTGCATGGCAGGAAGTGTCAGGAAAAGGTTCCTCCCAGAGATGACCCTGATACTAGGCCCTTAAAGTGATAGTACTCCTGGCAGAGGGAGCAGTCAGGTTCTTGAGGTTTATATAATGCCACTTTGTTTAGGGAACAGATAGGTTCTCTATAGAAAGGCCTGGTTATATTAACTTGATTTATATATTTTTCTCTTTGAATAACTAATGTGGGTTTTGGCTTTTTTGGTTTGTTTGGTTGGTTGGTTGTGGGGCCTGAACTCTGGGCCTGGGCGCTGTGTCCCTCAGCTCTTCAGCTCAATGCTAGAGCTCTACCACTTGAGCCGCAGCGCCACTACCAGCTTTTTCTGCTTATGTGGTGCTGAGGAATCGAACTCAGGGCCTCATGCATGCAAGGCAAGCACTCTACCACTGAGCCACCTTCCCTGCCCCTAATGTGGGTATTAAATATGGAGCTCAAGTGGAGTAAGAGAATAAACAGTGAAAAATGTTTTTCTCCTATTAATAACTTGATTCCCTTTCCTAAAGGCAGTAGTTAGCATTTTCTTTCTCAAAGGATTTTTCAGTGTATGCTTGTATTTGTTCAACATGTATCCTTTAAAAATATAAGCATGATGAGGGACAGTGCCCAAGCCCAGAGTAAGTTAAAAAAAATCTATATATAGATATATGCATGAGTTCTCTATGGTGTTGAGTTCTGATAATCCTAGCACTTGGGAGGCTGAGGAAGAAGAATCTTGAGTTTGAAGTCAGCCTGGGCAGCACAGCAAGGTTGGGACCAGCTCAGAAAGTACCGCCCAGTTTTCAGGGTAATGTTTAAATCCCTCAACTTATCCCTGTCCCAAGACTCTATCCAGTAGTACTAGCTTGTACAGTCCTCTGTTCCATTTATATTTGGTACTTCCTCCCTCCCGCCACTCCATATAGTCCTATACATCCCTTAGGATTCAATCTAGCATAAGCTCTTCTGGAGTGTAGGTAGCCTTTCCTGACTACCTACACTTGTGCACAAGACTCCTAAGCACAATTTGATGTTGCCTTATCTACTTGAGTATGTACTGTGCATATGTTGTTCTTTTTTTTTTTCCCCCTGGTGCCAGTTCTGGGGCTTCAAAGCAGGGTTTTTTACTCTGCCTTAGCTTTTTCTCTTACTTGTATTGTTTAGAATACTGGTTATAACAGCTGGCACTCTATTACTTGAGGCACACCTCCACTACCAGTTTTTTGCTAGCTAATTGGAGATAACCAGCAGGCCGACTTCAAACCTTAATCCTCAGATCTTAGCCCCTAAAGTAGCTAAGATTACAGGTATGAGCCATGAGTGCTCGGTACATGTGCTGTTCTGAGTTGTTGCCTTGGGAGGATAATGGATGCCTCACAGGCATTTCTAGTATAGCTGCATCTGAAAAGGCAGTACCATAGGCCGATTGCTAATCTGTCACTACTCAGCTGGAACCCTGGGCACATCCTTCAGCCTCTTTAGACCTGGGCTTCAGTATCTGTCAATTAGAAGTGTCCCTGTCGCTCAGGTCTTACTGGTAATTATAGTAATGGCAGCCAGGGATTACTGGGGATTCACATATTACATAGGGCCACTTTGTCAAGCATTTTGCCTGCCCTTAATCTTTACATCAATCCAATGAAAACTATGTAGTTAATATCCCGAGTTCACAGATGAGGAAACTGGGGCTATGAGGTTCAGTGGCAGCCACAATTGTCCACAATAGAGAAGTATATTTGAATGTAAGCATTCTGACACTCATATTCTCAGTCACATACACATCCTACACATTTTATACATACAGTTTTGTGGACTGTTTGGATCCTTCACAGGCTTTTCCTCCAGACTGCTCCCTGAATTACCCCATCTACAGCTTTAAAGGCTCAAGTTAGAGGGGATAAAAGCTGGGGACACGGCTGGGAAGGTGGCTCAGTGGTAGAGTGCTTGCCTTGCATGCATTAAGCTATGGGTTCAGTTCCTCAGCACCATATAAGTAGAAAAAGCCAGAAGTAGCACTGTGGCTCAAGTAGTAGAGTGCTAGCCTTGAGCTGAAGAGCAGAGGGACAGTGCCCAGGCTCAGAGTTCAAACCCCACAACTGACAAAAAAAAAAAGACAAAAAAAAAAAGCTGGGGACAGAAGATGTTACAGTCACAGTTATCAAAGAAGGAAGTTCTGACCAGTGTTCTTGGTTCCTGGATATGCTTACTAAAGGCTCTTGTAGCTGTCCCTCCTTCCAACTGAGAAAACTCATATTGGTATTTGCAGTGGCTTTCTAGAACAGGATTTAAGCCTGAGTCAAGTCATTGGACTGATTAAAGTCAGGTCTACTTAGTATCTCTTGGTGGTCCCAAGAGCATTCTTTATTAGGTGGCAGTTGGCAGGTTCCTTTATGTGTGCATATAAAGCCGTCTTAGTAGAAAAGGAAGTATATGGGATTTTTAATATGGAAGTATAATATTATGTACAATACTGCCTATAAACTAGAATATATTAATAACTGGGAAATGAAATCAAGTAAGTTAACTAAAATATAGTAGACCACCATTATAATGTATCATCAATCCAACCTTTCCCTAATGGCACATAGAAAATAATGTCTATTATTTGTCCATTTGCCCATTAATTGATTTTATTTTTATCTTATTTTATTTATTTATTTTTGTCAGTTGTGGAGCTTGAACTCTGGGCCTACGTGCTGTCCCTGAGCTCTACACTTGAGCCACAGTACCACTTCTGGTTCTCTGGTGGTTAATTGGAGATAAGAATTTCATGGACTTTCCTGCCCAGTCTGGCTTTGAACCTCTATGCTGAGATCTCAGCCTCCTGAGTAGCTAGGATTACAGGTGTGAGCCACTGGTGCCTAGCTTGATTGATTGTCGGTCTTGGGGCCTGAGCTCTGGGCCTAGGAGCATCCCTCAGCAATTCAGCTCAAGGCCAGCATACCACCACTTGAACCACAGTGCCACTTCCAGCTTTTTTTTTCTGCTTATGTGGTGCTGAGGAATCGAACCCAGGGTCTCATGCGTGCAAGGCAGGAACTCTACCACTGAGCCAACTTCCCAGCCCTTGATTTTATTTTTTAAAGATAGTTTCTACTCTTCTGAAGTCAGACTGGGCTGGGTGCTGGTGACTTATGCCTGTAATTTTATCTGCTCAGGAAGTTGATCATAGTTGATCATGGTTCAAAGCCTGGCTGTGCAAGAAACTCCATGAGACTTTTATCTCGTTAACTACCAAAAAGCCAAACGAAGAGCTATGGCTCAAGTGGTAGAATGCTAACAAGAAAGCTCTGGGACAGCATCCAGGCACTGAGTAAGAAGTCAGTCTGAACTAGAGTGGTAGGATTAATTACCAACCACAGTCTGTCCCATCATTGTCGGGGATAGCCAGCAGAATGCTGCGCTTCTTGTCACAGGCTTGTCAGGTGAGCCTTGATTAATTAGTCCATTTTTGAAATTCATTGCTGTGGAGTCAGATCTTCAGAGACTCCTCCAGCCTCTGCCAGGTTAGCAGCAGGCTGTGTGGCCTTGGCTCCTGTGGTGCATTCCTTCTCTAGGTGGTGTATTTCTCCCTTTAAAGCACATGCTTTCTCTCTCCTCCCCATTCCTTTCTCTTTTTCCCCTTTGGGTTAGTTGAACTTGTTCTGAGTCCAAGTGGCAAAGGTAGAGCCTGTAGCAGCTCTGTCTCTGCTGGAACCACTGAAGCCAGCAGTGGGATAGAGCTTAAAAGTCTGAAAGCTCCACAATGCCTGACAGACATCAAGTTGATGTCCAGGTGAGCTGGAGCTGACTCCTGGCCCTATCATAGGATCTGTCTCCTGTACAGGACTCTGATGGTAGCTGACTGCAGACTTTTGCATTTCCCCAGGAGGCTAAAAAGCCACTTCTGTGCTTGTCTATTCTCTTGACAGCAGGGATTCAATTGTTACAATTCTTTCAACTTTGTGATTATGACTGCCTTACCAAAGTGCATGCTTCCAACTAAGTTCTGACTGAAGTTTTCTTTACTTACCTTCTTGTTTTTTTGTTTTGTTACAGGTGAATCTACTCCTTGGCTGACATTGGAATTCTTCTGTACTTAAATTTTTTTCTTAAAAAAAAAACTTGGACGGATAAAAGATGTGCCATGGCAGGATAGCACCAAAGAGCAGCTCAGCATTTGCCGTGGCCTCTGTGGGACATGGAGTGTTCCTTCCACTGCTAATCCTTAGTACCCTGCTTGGAGACGGACTTGCCTCTGGTAAGTCCAGATCTGTCTTCGGTGTATTGGAGAGAGGGCCTTAGATAGAGGACTCTTTGGCAAGGAGCTGTGGAGAAAGTAGAGGATGTGTGTTGGAGGTGAGGGTGGGGTATATAGCAGAGATTCAAGGGAGTCTTACCTCACAGTAGGTAAAGGTATCTGATGGTGATTACATTATTTTTTCATTTCCTCAGCAGGCAAGGTCTGGGATCTGAGGCATGATATAAAGTGTTTGGAATCAGATTACCTGAGTTCATAGTTTGTTCTTAGTCTTGTTCTGTTCTATGACCACCCTGAATAAGTCACTTTGTTCCCAAGAGCCTTTATCCTCCCCAGCTGTAGCGATAGTAAGTAGTAAGATAGTAATAGTACCTACTTTATAGGGGAAGTACTATAGAGGTACTGAGATAATACAGTTAGTACTTAATGATGGTTCCATCTGTGTATGTGATGTGCATATGTGCTGGTCGTGGACTTGAATTTAGGATCTAGGCACTGTCCCTGAGCTTTTTTTGCTCAAGGCTAGCACTCTACCACTTAAGCCACATTCCACTGCAGCTTTTTAGTTGGTTTCTTATCTTTCAGTCCTTTTCCTCAAACTAGGTAAATCATTGAGGTATGTGACTTAGTGAAACTAGGACCTGGTAACCAACACAAACATCTTAGGCAAGTCATAGGATGCTATGGTATAGTTTTATCTATCCGTTAATGAAAGGGTTGATCTGGACAAACTTGAAGCTACTTCAAACCCCCTTAGTCTGTAGGTCCATGATTTTTAATGATTTGTGCTGTCTGTGCCTTTGACAATGCTCTGAAGACCCTTCTTACATATCATCATGTGATCCTCCAGACCTGGCATCCTTTCTAAAAAGAACATACTTGGGTGTATCCAGTAGGCGTATGGGTGATATGCTAGAACTGCTTCTCTACCTATAAGTTCTGGTATGATCACATCACTGAGATCAACAGTAATGGTTGGTGCCTTTGCTAGACTTCATTAGAAAGGAGATGGCGATTTCTTGGAGCATGATCTCGGACCTAGATTCTGGAAGGAAACTTTCTTTAGTGGTGTTGGTAATAAGGAGTGGCATATTGTAACTATTGAGTCCCCATAGCTTAGCATTATTTCTTTCATTACCTTTCTGTCAACTTCTACCCACTTAATAGCACATACAGATAACAATGCAAAGCAATTTTTTTCTTCAGAATTATTGTGAGAAACAATAATTGATTTGTTATTGTCCTTTGATCATAGCATTTCCCATCATACACATACCTGTTTCTTTTTCTGCTGCTTCTCCTTCTAACCCATTCTGATATTAAACTTATACCTCCTTGTTAGGCATGAGGATTCCTAATACTCCTGGACCATGATGGTTAGGATCCCATAGTAATGGGGATCATGGTTGTATGAAGATTTCAAAGGAAAGAAAGACCAGACTATGTCATTGCACATGTACAATATCAACAACATGAAGGAGGGCTTATATTAAATAGGCCATTTCAAAGCCAGAGAAGGCCTTTAGAAGTGGTAGTTACAGTATCACAGAGTGTAAGTCTGTCTTTCTTACCATACTAACTCTATAGCAGAAGTTAGCAAACAGTGGTCTATGGGCCATATACTGCCTTTTTTTTTTTTTTTTTTGGAGGGGGTAGGAGGCAGGTTATCTGCTTTTTAATTTTTTTAAAAATTTAATTTTGTGTGTGTGTGTGTGTTAATACTAGGGCTTGAACTCAGAGCCTGGATGCTGTCTCTGAGCTTTTTTTTTGGTCAGTCCTGTGGCTTGACCTCTGGGCCTGAGTGCTGTCCCTGCACTCTTGAGCTCAAGGCGAGCACTCTACCACATGAACCACAGTGCCACTTCCAGTTTTCTAGTGGTTTATTGAAGATAAGAGTCTCACAGACTTTGTGCCCGGGCTGGCTTTGAACCAGGATCCTCAGATCTCAACCTCCTGAATAGCTAGGATTATAGGTGTGAGCCACCAGCTCTCTGAGCTTTTTTTTTCTTAAGATGTCGTGTGTGCGTGCGTGCGTGCGTGTGTGTGTGTGTGTGTGTTTGTGTTTGTGTGTTGGGCCACGTAGTTCTTGACCACGGCACCATGATGATCCTTGGGGGATTCCATCCTCCAGAGCTAGACTTGGTGCTTCATGTCGAGAGACAGACTAGCCATCATAGTCCCTGGCATGGTACCTTCCCAAGTGAAGATGTTGAAGTAGGCCAGCATCTTTGGCTCTTGAGTGGTCAGCAGTTACTATAGTAGAGCTAGTATTATATGGGCTTGTGCCACCATGCCTGGTTTACCATCTGCTTTGTATATTTTTGCAGGCTATTTATATATATATATATATATTTTTTTTTTTTTTGCTAGTCCTGGGGCTTGAACTCAGGGCCTGGGTGCTGTCCATGAACTTCTTTTCTCAAGGCTGGCCCTCTACCACTTGAGTCATAGCACCAATTCTGTATGTGGTACTGAGGATTCGAACCCAGGGCTTCATGTATGGTAGGCAAGCACTCTACCACTGAGCCATATTCCCAGCCCTGTATTTTTTAACTGAATAGAAAAATTAGAAGAGTTCTATTTCATGACATGTGGAAATTATATGAAATTCAAATTTCAGTGTCCATAAATTAAGGTTGAGAGGAAACTAGCATGCTCATGACTATATTGCCCATCGCTACTTTTGTGCAACAGAGCTGAAAAGATATGACAAAGATGACATACCTTTCAAAATCTAAAATATTTGGGCCTTAAAATACTTTTTTTTCTTTTTATAAAAGAGCACCCTCCCAATCTCCAGCCAGCCAGCGTAGAACAGTTGGTACTCAGTAGGTATGTGCATGAATGGAAGCATTATCAAAGTAGAAAGGAGAGGAGGAAGGACTTCTCAGAGCTATGTCAGACTTGAGGTTAGGTACTTGTTTAGGGCCTTAAGGTTAATGGTAGACTAGTTCCAGAATCTGGCCTAGTACCTGGCATAGGGTTGAATCCTGCCTCTTCTAGGGCTCCTATAGAGAAGCTGTCTTAGTATGTTAGGCAGCAGTATCAGTAGCAGAACATGAGAAGTCTTTAGCCTCTTTAGCTTCATTAAGCTGCTTTACATAGCCATCCTCTTTTTGTTTGTTTGTTTGTTTGAGACCGGGACTCAAACTTGGTTTCAGGTAGGGTGCTTTCCTTCCATTCTCCACCCCATTTTTCATCTGCCCATACCTTTCTTACTTTCCACCCAAGGTCTGAAATCAATGATCAGGTTCCAGATTAGCTGGATAAAGGGATTATTATTCTCTAATGTGGGAAAAAAAATGTATCTGCAGTGTAGGCTAAAACTGAGATGGGAAAGTTGGCTCTGTTGTGTTGTGTTTTCTTTCCCCTCCCCTATTGCAAATATTTCTCTTATCATCCCAGGTCTTTTTTTATTCCCCATAAAACATACTGGCATGAAGCAAAGTACAGGCAAGGAGAAGGGGATTCATTATTCACTACAGTGATGAGAATGTTTTTTCTTCTCTCTGGAGTGGTTTCTGTGGGAAAGAGATACCCACCCTTCAGCCTAAAACCTGGACACACCTGTATAATTGTGACTACCATAAGCAACATGCCAAGCAAGCTTGCCAGGAAGCCAAGACTTACTGTGAAGGCACAAGGAAAGGCAGTTTCTTTCAGAAAAAGTCCTTTCTTCTCTTTCCTGCATTTCTTGCCTCTTCCTTTTGCTGCTCTTAAACACTCATTCAAGAGACATTTAACTGGTGCTTGTAACATACATGGCCTTATTACCAATGGTACTAATAGACTCTAGACATGTTCGTATGACATATAAATTCATGACTATGAGACTCCCACTGGACCATAGGTAAAATGAACTTCCCAGGGGCAATTTGCTGCCATTGTATCTCATCATAAATATCACAGTCACATTCCAGTCAGTCATGAGCTCAGATTGAGTAGAAAAGAATTATGTATGAACAGACACTTGAGCGTTCTGGGATAAAATTATATTGTGTTTGGGTTTCAGTTAACATTCTTGTTTCTCCTCCCTTCCTCTCCCCCCTCCTTTTTTGTGGGTTGTAGGGCTGTTGCCTGGGTGCTGTCTTGAGCCTCTTTATGCTCAAGGCTAGTGCTCTACTATTTGAGCCACAGTGCTCCTTCTGGTTTTTGAGTGCTTTTTTGGAGATAAGAATCTCATAGGGACTTTTCTGCCCACGTTGGCTTTGAACTGTGATCCTCAGATCTTAGCCTCCTGAGTAGCTAGGATTACAGGCATGAGCCATGGCACCCAGTGATCCCCTCCCATTTTTTGAGACAGGGTCTCACCTTGTAGCTCAGATTGGCCTTCCCAACATGCTAGGACTATCTGTATGCACTGCCACACTTGACTGGTTTTTCTTTCTTTTCTTTTCTTTGCCATTCATGGGGCTTGAACTCAGGGCCTGGGCACTGTTCCTGAGCTTCTTTGGCTCAAGGCTAGCGCTCTACCACTTGAGCTATAGCACCACTCTGGCTTTTTCTGTGTATGTAGTACTGAGGAATCGAACCCAGGGCTTCATGTGTGCTAGGAAAGCACTCTACCACTGAGCCACATTCCCAGCCCTGGTTTTTCCCTCCCCTTCCCTTCCTCCTTCCCTCCCTCCCTTCTTCTCTTCCTGCCTCTCTCTCTCTTTCTTCTTTCTCTCTTTCTTTTCTTTCTCTCTTTCTTTCTTTCTTTCTTTCTTTCTTTCTTTCTTTCTTTCTTTCTTTCTTTCTTTCTTTCTTTCTTTCTTTCTTTCTTTCTTTCTCTTTTTTTGTCAGTCATGGGGCTTGAACTCTGGGCCTGGGCACTGCCCCTCAGCTCATTAGCAAAAGGCTAGCACTCTACCACTTGAGCCACAGTGCCACTTCCAGTTTTCTGGTGGTTTATTAGAGATAAAGAGTCTCATGGACTTCACTGCCTGGGCTGGCATTGAACTTCCATCCTCAGATCTTAGCACCTGAGTAGCTAGGATTACAGGCATGAGCCACTGGCA